CCAAAACCAGATTGACTTTCTTGTCTCTGAAATCCCAGGAAAAACAAGGCAACGGGAAAAAGCCAACAGAGTCGAAGCACCCCCAGGCAGCAGGAACAGGGGTCTGGCCAGATGGTGGGAGTAGGGCTCTTCTCCCAGGGAACAAGTGACAAGAGGAACTGACCTCAAGCTGCATGTGGTTGGACATGAGGAAGGACTGGATGTGGCACTCAGTGCTCTGAGCTGGGGGCATCAGGCACAGGTTCTCAGTGATCCTGGGAGGTCTTTTCCAACCTCAGTGACCCTGGGATTGTGTGTGACGCTCTTAGAGCTCCCAGCCAGGACATCACTAAGTTTGTCTGACCCCAGACTCACCTCGTTGACGGTGACTTTGGCACTCTTGGCAATCTCCTCGAAGGTGAGCTGTCGGTGATTGGCTGGGCGGGTGAAAGTCATCTGAGTCCGGGGAACAGAGCAAAAAAATAAACCCCCACGGGGTTTTAGTGGTTCCCACAGCACACAGAGCCTCCCCTGTGCTGCCCTGCCCAGTCTCACTCTGCATCGGCAGCTGCGTTTCCCATATTTAACTGAAATAAGTCAAATAAAGTCTAAATTTCAAGAGTTATCACTCCAGACACCATCCCTGAGATACGAGGCTTCCTCTACCCCTCTTCCATGTCACAGAATCCCAGAACGCTTTGGGGGTTGGAAGGGACCTTAAAGCTCATCCCATTCCATCCCCTGCCGTGGGCAGGGACACCTTCCACTATCCCAGGTTCCTCCAAGCCTCGCCCAGCCTGGCCTAGAACACTTCCAGGGATGGGGCAGCCACATCTTCTCTGGAGAACATCCCAGCTCACCTCCATGAGACACAAAAGCTGGATCTTCTGCAGCAGCAGCGCCTCGTTCGCAGCCAGGTCAGGCTGTGAGAAGAGAAAATGCACCAAATCAGGTCACTATTGCATTTTCCCCTCAGCCTGGGGGAGAACAGCTTGTTTCACACAGGGGCAAATCCCTGAGGGGGCTTTATTTAGGAGGGAGGAGGCCATCACAGCCCAGCCACCACCTGGGAATGGTTCCAGAAAATAAATCCCAGGAGCTGCACACAAAACACAGAAGCCTCACCAGGCAGGCCAGTGGACTCACAAATCCACCTGCAAACTACTGCTGTGTCAGTAATTCCTGGAGTGGCCAGTGCAGGTAACATCCAACACCACTGTTTGCCTCACACTTCCCAGAAGAGGAGGGAAAACCACTCTTTTCTACTGGAAAGCACTGCTGTTATGGAGATTAAATCTGGGATTATCTGCCTGTGCAGGACATTTGTGTGTGCTCTGCCCTTGGATCACAGGAGATTTCTCTCTATTTCTTTCCATCAACCAGAGGGGAGCCAAAAGAAAACTAATGACATGTATCAAGATGAAATAACTCATTAAACCCCAATTAGAATTACACCAGTGCACCAGAGCCAGGAATTAGGTAAAGGTAGTAAAGCAGAGGTCCAGAGGCTCCAAGTGGGCTCTCTAAACCCTGAGCTTGGGCCCTCAGCACTACAACACCCCTCACCTGCTGCCCCCAGGCCGACTTGAGGGCCTGGAAGGTCTCCACGTTGCCACTGTTGAAGGCGAAGAGGGTGTCGATGAGCCACTGCCGGTCTGTGCTCCTCAGGGACTCCAGCACGGGGTGCATGAGCTGCAGGAACCAGGCAGGAGGGCATTAGCAGGGTAAAAATCAGCTCCTGAGGCTCAGTGGAGGAATGTGGCAGGACTTACCAGCTCCCCAAAGTTGTAAACACCTTCTCCCAGCAGCCCGGCCAGCCCCAGGGTGAAGGCTCTTTCCTGCTGCTCTGACACTGGAAAAAAACCCCAGCAAACAGACCAAAAGTAATTTGCATGAAGAAAAAGCCCAGAACAAAAATAATTTCGGTAAAGCAGCAGTTTAAGCCCCAGCAACCCCTCCCTCATCCTTCTCTGTGCCTGCATTAAACCATTCCCACCCCTCACCCTCTCTCAAGCCTGAAATTCAGGAGCCTGCAGTAACCACAGCACAAAAGCACCACTTCTGGAATTCAGAGTGAAGGTTTTGGGGGAATTAGAAGAAACTCCCCCTTCTGGCAGGGGCATTCCCCCCTCCCATCACCCTTAGGACCAGAACCCTGGGTGGGGTCACTGCACAATCCAGCCAGGCCTCGGATCCACCACGGCACGGCTAAAACAACATGGATAAAAACCTCTGCCAGGGCGTTTATTTGGTAGAGCAGAGCGTGGAGAGTGGGACTTTCCAGGCAGAGGAGTCACCTGGCAGGTCCTTGACCTCGATGCAGCCCAGGAAGCGCAGAGCATCCTTGTAGTAGGCAGCGTGGTTCCCCACCGTCTGGTAGTACTTGCTGGAGAGGTCGTAGAAGCGGCTGTGCACCGAGGTCACCCCGGGCAGGGTGTTCAGCAGCTCCTCCACCTCCTCGATGGTCTCCTGGGCAGGGGGAGACCTGCCTTTGTAAAGGGTAAGGAGTACCCGGTGCACTGCTGGAATCCCGGACGGGAGGATCACAGCATTCCCAGATGGGGCCCAGGGGCAGGTGTGACACCCCAGGAGCCACAGCCAAAGCCACCAGCAGGGTATTTATGCATATATTTACATGCTTATCCAAAACTAAAGCAGCAGTCTCCCTTCACACAGTAGTGGGGGGGGGGGAAAAACCCACCCCCAAACCAGCCCGGCAGCTGTAACTATATATAATGATGGCTTTAAACTGAAAGAGAAAGGTTTTGGGTGGGGTTTTGGGATAAATCATTCCCTGTGAGGGTGGTGAGGCCCTGGCACAGGTTGCCCAAAAGAGCTGTGGCTGCCCCACTGCTGGAAGGGTTCAAGGCCAGGTCGGATGAAGGCTGGAGCAACCTGGGATAGTGGAAGGTGTCCCTGCCCATGGAACCATTCCAGCATTACATGGTACAGACACACCCAAAGCCATCACTCTGCGCTTGCTCTAGGAGATCTAAAGCTGCCCTGCATGAAAACCCTCATTTTGGGTGTAAAAGACAGTTCTAAAACAAGTCAAGGACAACAAACCCCATGTGCTTTGCTCGGGCAGCAACATTGCAGGTCACCAGGAGCAGCTCCCACACACTGGGGAGGCTCACCAGACCCTCTGAGCTGGGAGTTGTGACAATCAAGGAATGCCCCAGCACCCCAAAACCTCCCAGCCCGGGCCACCCCTCACCTTGGTGACCTGCAGGTCCCCGATGTTGAGCTTGAGGGCCCCGATGGCTGTTTTGCACAGGATCACGGCCTCGTCACTGCTCTTCACCTGCAGGGACACAGGGAGACCTGCCTGGAGTGCCACCTGCAGCCAGGTGGCTGGGACAGGGCTGGGTGCACCCCACTGATCACATTCCCACAGTAAAATCCCTGGATTCCACAGCCCAGGTGTCACACACACACCGGACTGCCGCAGGGAGCAGCTTCAGACATACCTTTTCCCGAGTCTTCTCCAGGAAAGTCAGGGCCACGTTGGGATCTGGAGCAGAGGAAAATCAGGTTTTAAAAAGCAGCAGTACCAGGAGGTCCCGTGGAGCTGAACTTCACCCCCAAATACGTTGTTTACTGCATTCCTGAAGTGCTTTCCCTTCCGAAAGCAGCAGTCCGAGATTCCCCTGTGCCTGGCCACGTTCCACAGGGATCAGGGGCTGGGAGCAGCATGGGGAGGAGGTGAGGACACGCACCTGTCATCTGCCGGACCACGTGCAGGATGATCTCCACCAGGGACAGGGGGTTCACCCTGCAAAGAGCAACCTGGGGTCAGCACAGGGCCCCAACCCCCCCAGGTGACCCCAACCCCCCCCAGGTGACTCACCTGTGCTCAAACTCACTGATGAAGTTCTCGTAGAGCTGTGGGGGACAAGGACAGGGACACTCAGGGCCAAGGACACCCCAGCTCAGAGTTTTCACTCTATTTCCTCTTCTATTCCAGCTCATTTGAACATCCCTGGGAGCGTCCAAGGCCAGGCTGGACAGCGTTTGGAGCGACCCGGGCTAGTGGAAGATGTCCCTTCCAGGGAGGGTGGAGCTTCCAACCCAAGCCATTCTATGATTTTTCCAACAAAGTGGGCATCCCACACAGAAATTCCAGCACTGTGCAGAATCCATGAGCACAGAACTACCCATTTTAGCTCCTCCCAGCTCCGAGGAAGGGCCCGAAGGAAGCACCTGTGAACACCCCACACTCCACCCTGCACTCGGCAAACCCCTTGTCACAGAAGGGAGCTGAAGAGAAAAATAAAAATCCCCCTGCACCTCCCAAACGTAAAAAACTTAGAGCGAATGAAAGTAAAGAATCGCCCCGAAGGTTATAAAATCCCGACACATTTAATTTTAGCCAGATTTTCACCCATACCCCGCAGGCTCACGGGAGGCAAGTCCACCCGGGTCAGCGATTCTCCGAGAGGATTGTTACGGGCTGAGCCACAGGCTGAGTTTTCCCCGGTACAACTCCCCCACCCCATCCCTGCGCCACGGGGAAATCCCACACCCGGCAATCCCCCCCTCACCTTGATGAGCCCATCGCCCTGGGCGAAGCAGGGGTCCTGCACGAAGTCCAGCACCTGCAGGGTGAGCTGGTGCCACAGCCTGGGGACACAAAACACTCTCCGTGAGACACCGGGAACAAACACCGGGAACAAACACCAGGCATTCCCGCCCCCCCTCCCCGCGCTCACTTCTTGTTGTAGAGCTCCTCGAGGCGGTGCCACACGGCGGCCTGGCCCGGCCCCGCGCTCTGGCTCTGCTGCAGGAAGCCCGGCACGTCCTTCATGGCGGCGGCGGGACCGGAGGGGCCGAGGCGCGGCGGGGCCGGGGCGAGCAGGCCGCGCCGCCGCCGGGGCTGCGCACTCACTTCCGCCCGCGCGGGGCGTGCCGGGTACCGTAACGCCCCGCGCCCGCCGCCGCCGCGCACTCTGGGTTCGCGGCGCTACCGTAACGCCCCGCGCCCGCCGGGGCCGCGATGAGCGGGGCGCGGGGCCGCGGTGCGGGGCTGCTGGCGGCCGGTGAGCGCCGGGGGCCGGGGGGAGCCCCTCGGGGCCGGCGGGACACCCCGCTCAGCACCGCTCTGCTCTCTTACAGCGGCGTGGAGGAGCCTGTGGGAGCGCGGCCCCCGCCACGGCGGCGGCGGAGGGAGCGCGGCCCGGTCCGGCCGGGTGGGCGGCGGCAGAGCGGGGAGGTACGGGGGGGATGCCGGGCTGGGCGCTGGAGCCGGGAAGGGGAGGGTGGGAATCGGTGGCTGCGTAGAAGGTCCCGCGGGATGTGCGCCCGTGATGGAGGATGTCATGTCCTTGCCAAACCAGGCGGGTGGAGCATCGCTCCCTGGAACCAGGGCTCGGAGCTCGGAGAGTAGGGACTGAGCAGGGGAAGGTCAGTGTTGTACGGGGTTGGGGGTTCAGCTCCTCGGGAACCCCGTCTGACAGGGCAGAGCCACGTCCCTGTGACAGCAGGAAAAGGCAGTGCAGTGTGACATCCCGGGGAAAGCAGAACAACGTCCCTGTGACAGCAGGGAAAGGCAGTGTAGTGTCACATCCCAGGGAAGGCAGTGTCACATACCTGGGAAGGTAAAGCCATATTCTCTGTGACAGCAGGGAAAGGCAGGGGAGTGTCACATCCCAGGGAAGGCAGAGTTGACCACACTGATGCCAGGAGACTCTTCCAGTGTCGTTGCTTCTAGTCTCTACTTCCAGCCCCTCTCACTGTTCTTTGGGCTTGCCAAGCCCCCCCCGCTCTCCCCACGCCTGCTCTGGACGGTGCACAATGCCCTGCTCCAGCACCACCAATTTTCTGGGAGAAGCTGTTCCCTGCTGATGATGCCTGTTCCCGAACTGCTAATGACTGTTCCCAAGCTGATAATGGCTGTTCCCAGCCCAGCTGGGCACAGGGCTGTGATTCCTTTGGGCATGGACAACACGGAGCTCTCCCAGGGCAGAGGAGGGGGACGGGGAAATGACAGAGTCTGTGCTCACCTGGGCAGGGTGACACATCACCCTGATAGAAACTTATTGAATTCAGAACACAGAACAGCTTCCTGGATCCCAGAGTGGTGGGACTGGTGATTCCCAGTGCTGCTGCTCCCACAGCCCTCTGTCCGCCCGTGTCCAAAAAAACCAGAGATGTATTTTAGGTCCGCATAAGGGAGAGCAGAGGGACGTGTCTTCTCCTGGGTTTGAGTCAGACTAGCAGCCAAGCTTTCTCCTAGTGGAGCCCTAGCACAGTCCTGCCTGTGGAAGAGCTTTCTGTGGAATTTTTGGGTGTTTTTCTCCCCCAGAGCCAAAGTTGCTGACAGTTCTCTCAGGACACACCTACTGTGCTTCCCCCCCGTGCTGAGCAGGATCCAGGGCTCCAGGCCCTTCTCTCTGAGTTCTGCCAGAGCCATTTTGGGCCGGGGCAGGTGGGGAGGTGACGAGGGGAAGGAGAAGCTCACCTTGAAGGAGGTGGCCGAGCTCCTCCAGAAGAAGGAATGTCGCCGTGTGGTAGTGATGGCCGGAGCCGGGATCAGCACACCCAGCGGCATCCCAGACTTCAGGTGACACCTCCATCCTCTTTGTCCTTCACTAGTGCTGGGAGGGCCGAGTCTTCTCCATGGAAGGGGTGGTTAAAAATTGGAAGGGGCTGCCCGGGGAGGTGATGGAGTCCCCATCCCTGGAGGCGTGCAAGGAACGACTGGACGTCACACTCAGTGCTCTGGGCTGGGTGAGAAGGTGGGGATCAGTCACAGGGTGGGCTCAGTGACCTTGTGGGCCTTTTCCAGCCTAAATGATCTGGGGATTCTGTCTCCAGCTCAGGTAACGCTGGTGCTGCAGCCCCTCCCATGTTCCCCCTGTCCGTGCAGGTCCCCCGGGAGCGGCCTGTACAGCAACCTGGAGCAGTACGACATCCCCTACCCTGAGGCCATCTTTGAGCTGGGCTATTTCTTTGTCAACCCCAAACCCTTCTTCACCCTGGCCAAGGAGCTCTACCCCGGCAACTACCGCCCCAATTCCGCCCACTACTTCCTGCGGCTGCTGCACGACAAGGGGCTGCTCCTGCGCCTCTACACCCAGAACATCGACGGGCTGGAGAGAAGTGAGTTCCCTCTCCCCGCCTCCAGCAGCACCGCCAGCAAGAGCTGAGGGGAGAAGCAGGACTGGGGAGATGCACACAGGGAGTGTCTGGCTCAGTCCTCTCCAACGTGCTGTATTCCAGTGGCTGGGATCCCTCCCGACAAGCTGGTGGAAGCCCATGGCACCTTTGCCACTGCCACCTGTACAGTGTGTAAGAGGAACTTCCCCGGAGAGGACTTCAGGGTGAGTGGGCCCAGCCAGGCTTCAACACAGCAGTTAACACTGTTAAAATAATGACAGGTCCTAGTCCTGTTCTTCGGCCCTGGAAGCAAGAGGGGATGAGACTCAGGGCTGGGCATTGCTGTGAGGACACATGGTGGTTTCTGCCCCGTGACAGGTAGCTCTGGGGTCTCTCCTTCCAGGGGGATGTCATGGGAGACAGGGTCCCTTGCTGCCCTGTGTGCACTGGAGTTGTCAAACCCGACATCGTGTTCTTCGGTGAGGAGCTCCCGCAGCGCTTCCTCCTGCACCTGGCAGACTTCCCCCTGGCAGACCTGCTCTTCGTCATCGGGACGTCCCTGGAGGTCTGGAAATAAGGGAAGCCCCGGGGAAAAAAGGCGCATGGAAAACAGGGAGGGGAGAGAGGGCTTATAGGAGAAGGTGAGAAACGGGGTTAGGGAGGTGAAATTTGAGGGGGAGGGTAAGAAATAGGGTGCAGGTGATCCGAGAGACCCTCTAGAAACCAGGAGGGCACCTGGAGAGCCTTGGGGCCACCTCAGAAAAGGCCACCGGGTGACACTGTGACCCATCCAGAGCTGGGGTGGCTGAGCCCACAGCGGGGGAACCGTCAGACACAGCAGTTCTGAGCCTGGAACAGGTGCCTGTGGCAGGGTGACAGTCCCCCTGCCCTCCTGGTTCCTCCCTCAGGTGGAGCCCTTTGCCAGCCTGGCCGGAGCCGTGCGCAACTCCGTGCCCCGGGTCCTCATCAACCGGGAGCTGGTGGGGCCCTTCGTGGCAGCAGCGCCACAATGACGTGGCCCAGCTCGGGGACGTGGTCGGGGGCGTCGAGAAGCTGGTGGAGCTGCTGGGCTGGAACAAGGAGCTGCAAATGCTGATCCAGAAGGAGAAAGAGAAGGTGGGAAGGGGCTCAGAGCCCCACCTCCCCCCTCAGCCTTTGCAATCCCTGTGCTGGAGTTACCCAGGGAGCGGGTTTATGCTTGCTGAGGTTGCCTGCTGTCTGCCCTCACAGGGAAAGACTGCAGAAGGGCTAAAAACACCCCAAACCACCCAAACCAAACCTGAGTGCTGTTTCACAGCCAAAGTGCCAGAGCAGAGTGCTATGGGCTGAACGTGTCCGTGGTAGATAGGAAGATGCAGATCTGCCAGTCCCAGATGAAATAGGAACATGGAAAAGGGCAGCATTTGGGCTTTGATCATTTCTTTCCCTCTGCCATTCTCACATCTGTAACCTTCTGGGATCTTCAGGAGTGAGAAATTGCAGGGGAACAAGTCCTTAATTAATAGAGCTCAGTGCTGCTGTTAATTACTGCACTGCTGTAGACCACTGGGAAGATTTTTCCACATTTGACATCAAACCGTTAAAATTTTTTAGGGATACACTGCCCAAACGTGACTTCTTCATAAAATCTGGCTTCCAGATTCCAATTTTAACATCCAGGTTGTTCTTATTTTCTTCAGATCATGAGGCAGGAATTGAGTAGGAATTCTTAGTCTGTCAGCCAGGTTTTTTATGTTTCGGTACAAACATTTTGGGGTCCAGCCAGCCCTTGGCTTGATGCTTGTGCTGCTCTGAATCCCTGACGGATAATGCTGATAAAGCAGGAAAACTAAGGCCAGCTTGGACAGGGCTTGGAGCAACCTGGTCTCGTAGAAAGTGTCCCTGCCCATGGCAGGGGGTGGAACGAGATGAGCTTTAAGGTCCCTTCCAACCCAAACCATCCTGGGATTCCGTGAAAGCTGTGGGGATGGTGCTTGGAGCTGGAATGTTTGATGCTCCCTGGCAAACGCTGTGGTCTCCCTGTTTTCAGCTGGATGCAAAGGACAAGTAGGACGGTGCTCCTGCCACCCCTCAGCACATCATTTGATGATGTCCAGCCATGCAATGTCACCAGCAAGCAGCAGGGCGCTCATGCCAGCACACCCAGTGAGCTCCGTGTCTGCAGCTGGCTGTGTGGATCTCCCTCCTTCCCAGCTGTCCATCCCGGAGCCCCCTGCTGGGGCTGGTTCTAGGGAGCAGGAGCTGGAAGTTTTACAGCTTCCACTGAACTGAGCGTCCGAGGCCTCTCACGGCTCCTCCCCAGCCATGTTCCCTCGGCCACGATCCTGAGCTGCTGCAGACTGTTTATTCTGCCATGAAATCTCTGCTAATCAGGGTACAGTCTGGGGGTGGGGGGGCTGCCCCCATTCCCATTCCAGCTCAAGCTGCTGCAGGACTTCTGAATCACTAGAGTGTTAATTATTTATTAATAAAGAGATGGAATTCATTTCTGGATGTCACCTGAGGGTTTTCTGTTAAGTCAGACCTTCCCTGGGGTTAGAGCATGTTCTGTTCCCACCACATCTCCTTTCCCCTGCTTTTTAGTAATTTTTTTTTCCTTTTTCCCCTCATACCACTGCCTTTCCTTGCTGTAAATGCCGTCCTGGGGGAGTGGCATTACCACAGCCCTGCAGCCATGTCCTGCTGTGCCCCAAACCTGCCACAACACAATGCAGAGCCTCCTGGCACATGGATCCACACTGAAAATGCTGGGGACTGGTTTCTAACCATACCCTGCTTCCCAAAAAAACAATTCCATGATTTTGTGAATGCCTCATGCCAAGTGCCCTGTGCCAAGCTCAGCCCCTGCTCCAGGGCATTCCAGGCCAGGCCTGGCAGCTGCTCTGAGGGATTTAAAGCACTCTGGAAAATGAAAACAACAATATCAGAGGTAATTGCATTAAAAACACCAATCCCCCCTTTTGCTTTTGCACAGAAAACTTGGGAGAGCTTCAACAGCTGGGAAGGGATCAGGGTCTGTGTGTGCACCCAGTGGTGGGTTCTTGGCTAGTTAAAAAAAAAGATAAAGATGCTGTTGGCCCAAAACCTCCCACTGTGACAGAGCAGGGCTGTGCCAGCCCAGCAGCCCGGCTGTGACCCTTGGGGGTCAGTTTTATATCAGTTACTGGGATTCCAACCATTACTAAACAATTCCTAATCACCGAGGAGCTAAACAGAATCCCAGAATCATCCACGTTGGAAAAGATCTCCACGATCATCAAGTCCACCCTGTGCCTGATTCCCACCTTGTCCCCCAGCCCAGAGCACCGAGTGCCATGGCCAGGCCTTCCTTGGACACCTCCAGGGGTGGAGACTCCACCACCTTCCTGGGCAGCTCCTTCCAATGCCTGAACACCCTTTCCATGAGGAAATTCTTCCTGATGTCCAATCTGAGCCTCCCCATGCACAACTTGAGGCCATTTTCTCTCCTGCCCCTTGTTCCCTAGGAGCAGAGCCCGACCCCCGCTGTCTTCCCCCTCCTGTCAGGGAGTTCCAGAGCCAGAAGGTCTCCCCTGAGCCTCCTTTTCTCCAGGCTGAGCCCCCCTAGCTTCCTCAGCCTCCTGGTGCTCCAGACCCTTCCCCATCACTGTTTCCTTCTCAAGACACACTCCAGCACCACCTCCTTGCCACGAGGGACTCAGAGCTGGACACAGCACAGGAGGTGCCTCAGCAGTGCCCAGCACAGAGGCAGAATAGAGCCAAGCACCTCTCCAGCTCTTCCCCTCCAAGACCACGTTCAGAAACACCCCCAGCTCCTAAGGACACGCAGGCAGGAACACCTGGGAACACCTCTGCCATGGGCTAGTCAGAGACAGCCCTAGGGACTTCCCTGTGGTAAAGCAATCATGGCCACAAGCCCACGTGTCAGGTTGGCTTTATTCAAGCGTCACTTGTGCATTCCTACTCATGACGGGACATTTGGGAATCCGGGTACATGAGACAGACGGGAAGGTTTTGTTCCAAAAGAAAAAAGTAAAAATAAAGACAGATCTACACCAGGTCTGAGAGCAGCCCCTAGGGGACAGAGAGACCTGGGGACAGCGAGGAGGAGCGAAGGACAGAGCACAGGTATTGGCCTTTCCTTTGGAAAGTGAGATTTGGGGAGAGGTGGACGCCCAAACCCAACTGGCTGGTGACAGGGACAGTGCCCAGTGCCAGGGAAGGGCCATCGGAGTGTTCCCGGCTGCCACCCACATGCTCTCTCCCATGGCCAGTGGGATGCTGGAAGCTTCCTCAAAGGCCTCACTCAGTTTCCCTGTGTTCCAGGTGCACATGGACACTGGTGCACTCGGACAGCGGCACAGGGACACAGCCTCCTGCACCACATCCTGCGGATCCCACTCCCCAGAAGCTGCCGTGATTCATGGTCCACACCCCTCTCCGGCAGCACCCCCCCTTCCCACAGCATTCCCGGGGAGCAGCCTCCCCACTGTGGGGCTAGGCACACGCAGGAGGCTCTGCGGATCGATGGACCCTGATGGAGTGGCAGGAAGAGCCTCTCCCTGACCCCTCTTCCCAAACAGCACGCATTTAAACAAAAAAAATCCTACTGGAAAGTCCTGGAAGCAATTTGGAGTGTGAAATCCTGAAGGCTGCCGACAGGAGAGACCAAGGTGGAGCCAGGCCATGGAGACCTCTGGAAGAAGAGCTGGCTATGGAGCTGGGAAGGAGGCAGGTGTTCCGTGTGGTGGGCTGTGAGGGATCCAGGCTGGATACCGATCCCACAGGGAGAGTTCTGGCCCAGTGCCAGCCTCTGGGTGCAGCACCAGTTCCGGAGGGAGAGTGGCTGGAGCCCAGCTCTCCATGGCTGGGGCGGGAGCCGGGTCAGTCCAGCCCCAGGTCCGAGTCGGATGACGAGCGGTCATCAGCCATGTTGCGGATGGCGTTTTCCATGGGCGCCAGGTTTCCACTCGGAGTGATGCCCATGGGCTGGATCACCTTCTCCCTGCAGCCAGGAAAGGTAAGCCAGAGCTCTCAGAGCAGGGGAACAGACCAGGAACACAGCAGGAATGCGGGGCTTGTGGAAATGGCCCGGAACACCCCTGACACCACTAAGGATCCCTTCTGAGAAATGGGCACAGTCCCAGCCCTAAAACCTCCAGCATGGTGAGACAATGGCTGGAAGCACAATCCACAAACAGTACCATTCCCATTCTCAGGTTCCCTGGAACAGGGTCATTTCTAGAGCCCTGTTCTGTGTGGTTCAGGATTCCCATGGGGAAAACTAGCACTGGTGTCTGTGCTCCTGTCCCTCCAACACATGATGGAAGTACACGCATTACTTCCCTCGCTTCCTGAACTCACTGGGCTCCTCTGGAGCACCTGTTAATGATGGATGAGAGATGACTGGAGAAAGCTTTCCAGCAGAGAAAGGGACTGGTGGCACTGGCTGCTGTCTGTCCCCAAAATGCTGCTTCCTCCTGAGCAGCCTTGCCAGGACAGAGGCTGCTGTTCTTCCTGAGTTCCTGGACAAACCTGGCAAGCAGTAGGTGTTTGGGAACAGCACAGGCACAGCAAGGAATTTCGCATCATGCGTCCCATCATGCCAAAGCTGAGGAAAGAGCTTCTCTGGGTACCCCCACCACTCCTTCTCCTAAGTCCCTTCAGGCCGTGGGAATGCAGCCACAGGAGGGCCTGTGAAGGAGGAACCCCCGACAGGCAGTTGTGGACACGGACACACCTCCACACCCCAGTACCTGGACAACTTGTCGAACATATTGACCAACTTCATGGCTTCATGCTCCTTCTGCTCCTCTGTCATCCCTTCCATGGGGTTGGGAAGCTTGTCCTCCACACGGCCCGTCACAGGGTTGATGCTGTGCAGACAACAGTGAGGTCAGGGCATGGGAAAGGTGACAGCAGGGGGACAAAGGGCTGTTGGGATCCTCCTGTGTCCCATGGAGCAGAGGAATAGCACGGCAGGGCTGGCTATCACCACTGCTTGTGCCCTTAGTGCCCAAGTGCCATCACAATTCTATGGGGGCTTCCAATCTACATCCTTAACAACCCTTCCCATTTCTCCAGCAGGAGCAACACCCCCTCCTGCCAATGCCACAGTGCCATAGGAAACCAGGTGTACAAGGCCAGGTGACACTTCCCCCCTGTCCTCAAGTCAGGAGGCAAAAGCTAACAGAGAAAATCCCAACAAACCCAACCTGCACGGACACTGAAAAGGAAGCTGGTAAGTGTGGGATAACAGGTGGGCACAGACCTGGGGCTGTTCCCACACACTTCCCACCCTCCAGATACCACCCAGTGCAGAGTAAAGGAGAGGGAAAGGGAAAAAGAGAAAGGGAAGGGAAAAAGAGAGGGAAGGGAAAAAGAGAGGGAAGGGAAAAAGAGAGGGAAGGGAAAAAGAGAGGGAAGGGAAAAAGAGAAGCCAAAAACTAGCTGGATGCAACAGCACTGGGCTCTGGAGTGGGAGAGGAGCCATGAGCACATGGAAGAGCAGGACAGGGAGATGGTAGGAGGTAGACAGAGAGGGGTAGAGCAGGAATGGGAAGAAGGCGTGGAAAGAGGAGTGCTCTAGATGGGGAACAGACTTCTTTACTTGGGCTTTGCCTCTTTGTACTCCTCCGTGTCCGTGTCCTCATCCTCCGAGTACTCCCCCTCTTCCCGGCCACCAGCCATGAGGCCCCGCGCCGCCAGCAGCCCCGCAGCATTCCCGTATCCTGTGTACTTCACAAACCGGGACACTGCCGGGAGAAGGACAGAGACCATGCTGTGCTCCCCTCCCGCCTCCAGCCCCACGGTCATGCCAGGCCACGGAGACCCAGGGACACTGTCAGGGGGACAGCGGCCACAGGCGGGGGGCTGAACGTGGCCCAGGCTGTCTGTAGGGTGTTGGGGTGCCCTGCAGCACAGCTTGTCCCTCACTGCTGGCCTGAGAGACAGCACCTCCTTCCCAATGAGCTCCCGGAACGCTCCCCTTTTCCCTGCTCAGCGTGGCTGTCCCCAGGGAAGGCAGAAGGTTCACGGAGGGTCCCCATCCCACATATGCTCTGGCTCTCCCGGAGGCCACATCGAGGGGCTCCCTGCCAAAGCCCCCTGGGGGACTCACCGCTCTCCTTGCAGAGCACGAAGAGGAACTCTGCGGCGCAGTGCTTGACGTCAGTGTCGATGTGGGTCATGAGCCGCACCAGCTTGTTCCGCAGGGAATTTCCCACCTCCGGTCGGTTCCGCACGTCCCGCAGCGGCGGCAGCACCTGGGCAGGGGGAGAAATACTGTGGGTGCCAGAGGCCTCAACCACTCACATGAGAACCCAGAGGTGTGTGGAGGGTGGCCAAAACCAGGGGTTTGCTCATCTCCTCTCCTCTCAGGGCAGCACCCCCAACCTTTGGGTTGAGCACAGCGTACCCTGGCCTTCAGGAACTTCCTGGTCTGGCGGTGGACACGGGCACTCTCCGTCAGCAGGTTCAGCACAGGGGTCAGGCTCTCCTTCAGCT